ACATACGTATATACATCATTATTTGTCCAACAGATAGCGATAAAATAATTACAATAAATCTTTTAATAAGTAAATGTCACTCGCACTCTCTTCACCAACGAATTTTATCTTATTGCAGGTAGTTTAACAAGTACATGAAAGAGGAAATAGTCTGGACATCAAATTAATCAATTACAAACAGCTAAAAATAATGTTAAAATGAAAAAAAAAAAAAGCAGCAACTTTTCACTGAGTGAATTTATTGTCATAGGTAGTCAAAGTAGCACAAATACTAATATATTAACAAGTATACAAATAGAATTACGTCAACAAAGAGAAACAAACAGCCAATTACATTAAAACGAATAAACTGATGTTCTCTAATATAAAGAAAGCCGCCAGTGGCCTAGCGGTAGGTCTGGAGTCTTATAACGCTAACAATTGGGTTTCGATACTCCCTGTGGGTACATCACAGATAGCCTATTGTGTATCTTTTTGCTTAACGACAAAGAAACATATAAAAAATGTTCTTTAATATTACATCTCTTTATATCAATTTCTTTACTTGAAACAGAGACAATTAAGTTATTTTGATACTTGCTGATGCCGTCTCTTGTTTGTTTGTAATTAAGTACAAAGCTACACAATGGGCTATCTAAGCTCTGCTCACACGGGTATCGAAACCCGGTTTCTAGCGTTGTAAGTCCGCAGACATACCGCTGTGCCACTGGGGGGCGATGCCATTTTATGTAGCCTTGTTAAAAAGTAAAAGAAATCATATGTAGGCATGCTTAAGAGGTTTACAAATCCTCTTACAAAGATTCATTCAACAAATGATATTTCCGGCCCAGAAGCTGACACATTGTGAAACCAAACAAGTTCCTACAGTTGCCACTGCAACTACTACTTTTGTAAGGCTTAACAGACAGTAAGGATTATTATAATTCGAAAGGCGTAAATGTACTTCTTTGTACAGTCCCATATAATTTTTGGCACGTACATTGCATAAACAACCAAATACGCGTTTTATTAACACTTCGTAACCCTATAAAACCGTGAAGTCAGAGTAATAATAAATATATTGTTATCGTCTTGACCATGCTGAATTAAGAAATTCTCTTCTTTTTCTGCCCCCCAGTGGCAGAGCAGTATGCCTGCGGACTTACAACGCCATAAACCAGGTTTCGATACCCGTGGTGGGTAGAGCACAGATAGCCCATTGTGTAGCTTTGTGCTTAATTACAAACAAACAATTTTCTTGGAGAGAATCGTTTGTTGACTTCTGCATAGAGCTCACTTAATTTTATATCTAATGAGTTATTGGTATTTTTTTTTCAGCGCTGTTAAAACTGAGACAAAGATAAATTTTATTATGTTTACACTTTTTTAAATAAAGTGAAGATATGTGTCAGTAATTATGGTACACGTGCTTATAAATCATTATTTATAATTATATCATTACTCTATCCTTTGTATGACTGCTTTTGCATTTTATGATGTCAGTGTTTAAATTATGATGACATCAACTTTAAATGTAGAATTTTTAACATTTAAATAGCTAATCAAGGTCATTACGTTACACTTTACTGGTAATTGCTTGAAACGTGCAAAATGCTTGAAGCGTTGAAAATCATTTTATATAGTGAATTATTTGCACTTTTCGCTACAGTTTTTCATGTGAAATTTTCAGTCTCTTAATTTTCACTAAATGTTCCTCAAACACTTTGTTTTGTATGCATTATTTTGAATAATAAAGTTTTTTTTTATAAATATAGCCATAATGATTATTCAAACCGCGAGAGCAAGTATGTGTTCGTATATATGGGATACTCACAGTGTGGTTTTGATTGTTTTGATGCCTCCTGGTAGCTCAGCGGTTGGCTTGAGAACTAATAAAATTTGGGGTTCGTTCCCTATCGTGGGCACAGTGCAGATATCCCATTGTGAAGCTCTGCGCTTAATATCAAAGAATATTATTTCTATCACTATTGTAATACGAGTATTGAATTCAATTTCATTTATAATATTGAGTCCAAAGTATCAACACCCACGCTTCGTGAAAGGTTCTATAAGAAATGTGTTGTTTTGCTTTACACGCTATATTTATACTTAGGATTATAAGATTTTACATAAAAAGTTCAGGCCCTGCATGGCCAGGTGGTTAGGGCGCTCGACTCCCAATCTGAGGGTCGCGGGTTCGAACATGCTCGCCCTTTCAGCCGTGGGGGCGTTATAATGTGACGATCAATTTCACTATTCGTTAGTAAAAGAGTAGCCCAAGAGTTGGCGGTGGGTGATGATGACTAGCTGCCTTCTCTCTCTAGTCTTACACTGCCAACTTAGGGACAGCTAGTGCAGATAGCCCTTGTGTAGCTTTGCGCGAAATTCATAATTCATACATAATGTTTCATTTTTATTGAACAAGACAATATAGGCGATTGAATTCTCTTATGCTTTAGTACACATTTAATGTACTTTAGTATAGTTTTCGCTTCCAACTGAACAACTGAGAGCCTAAAAATGATTAAAATTAAAGTATCGTTTGTTTGAAGTTAAGCACAAAGCTACACAATGGGCTATTTGTGCTCTGCCCATCACGGGTATCGAAAGTGAAATTAAAGTAAATGTTGATTTACGTTATGAACGATTTCACACAATAAATTTTGTTTTCTATCTATTATAAACAGCTATTTGTTTTAATACGTTATCAGGTGAGATATTTATGTTACGCATATGGTTAAGACATTTCAATGTGTTCGTTGATTCTAACACGCGTGAAGGCATTTTAATTTCATTTGAGAAATAATTAATTTTTTTAAATTGATGTTTTTTCGTAAGCTGGCTTACCAAAACTGTAATGTTTAACGACATAGACACAGAAATATTACAAATTTGGCGGGCAAGTGGATAACGTGAACCACAGTTACGTATATAGGCCGTTGCTATCATCAAATATTTCGGTCCGTTTTGATTTTTGACATGAGCTGGTAAAAAACTAAAACACTATTGGCGTTATACCGTCTTTGATCATCTTAATGTTTCTATTCCAGAAATGTTACTGCATGTGTTGATATCAGTGTCAAACTTTGCCGGAGAAGATATATGACTAATGAAAACTCCTGTATGATGTAGCCATGGTTATTTTAACTGGCAGTATGAATAGCTTGGACGCTTGACCTGAGATTATGGAATATCGCCTTCTAAGGGCGTGAACTTTTACAGCAGGGGTTTTCAGAGGTTGTAGAGGCACATAATTAATTATTAGAAAAACTTATGAGTGAAAATAACGAAAAATCTGATAATGTCTCAACCACAATATGTCTGCTATGTGTAGTGCCGACGAGGCCTTTCGCCCATTACCGGGGCACATCAGGCCGGTTGGGATACGACAGACGTAGTACTTGTCCGACATGCTATTTATATTATCAGTTTCTTGAACAACTGTTTCAGTGTACACTAAATTAAGTTGGTGAATTATAACTTTTATCAATTATACTTAAATCATTACATATTTAAGGTTTCACGCATATCCTTATAATTAACAAAGTTTGTCTTTTATATATATATATATATTAAAGTTAAAGTTTGAGGGTGAAAAAAAAGTGAAAAAGGTTTATTGAGCTTGTGGTTAAGCTTTTTGGTCTTGGAACCCAAAACCTGATACGTAAAACACTCGGTACACTAAAGGAAGTACTTCACACTGGATTGAATAATCCTTGGTGGTAATGAGAGAACTCTCTATTAAAGATTTACTCTGTTTACCAAGTGGCATGTCGATCATGTGCTAGTTTTTGTTTACTACCAAGCATAAAGCTACACAATGGGCTATCTGTGCTCTGCCCACCGCGGTTTTCCTAAGTTATCCAAATATACGTTTCTTTGATATTTTATTAATAATTTCCTACCCTCATCGGGTCAACAGTAAGTTTATGAACTTGCAGTGCAAAAATCCGAGGTTCAATTCCCCGAACAGAATACAAATAGTTCATTGTGCAGCTTTGCACTAAGAATACAACAGCAGCACTACCAGTTTATTTTCTGCATAGTATTTTGTTTAAGATATCTGTGAGTTATCTGTAAATTTTTACTTATAGATTATTTCGAAAATGTTGCCATATATTTTTATTAAAACCTGTGGCTAATGATAACTAGATATTTCATTTTAAAAATGTATAGATGGATAAATATTTAGCAACGAAAATGTGTACTTGTGCTCAGCGAAATGAGTAAGCGTGTTTTAAGAGCTGTTAAAGTGGCCCAGTGGTTAGCGCGCTGAACTATATATATAGATCTGTGGATCCAATGCTCGGGTCCCGTTACCACCAAAATTAACAATAAAAATGAATCGCGCTTCGTGCCTGTGAATGCATTATAACGATGACAGTCAAATCCTACGATTTGATCAGAGTTGGCGGTGGGCGCTACTGGCTGGTTACCTTCCTTCTAGTATAAAATTAGGGATGAATATATCAAAACAAACATTTTAAGGGTGTAAAACATCTTTCTGTCTGATTCACTTAAAACTTAAATAGGCTTTCATTGAACGGTTTACAAAGCAATATGGCCTCCAGTGGCTCAGCGGCAATCTCAACTTACAATGCCAGAATCCGGGTTTCGATACCCGTGGTGGGCAGAGCACAGATAGCCCTTTGTGTAGCTTTGTGCTTAACTACAAACAAATCTTATATCTCAAAGATATAGAGTGTACGGTTGAATAAATAGATTACAGTTGGTCCTTATCACATTTTTAAAAGATCTAAGGAAAGCTCTCATTGCTCGACTTTGCATATCATAATAGAAACATGTGTTAAAGACTACGGAAGAAGGATTTTACCCAGAACTAATTGGTAGTATATGGCATTTTGGAAATTAATTTTTAACCTTTAGATATTTCTGTTTCGTTTGTGTTTTAATTGTCTTTTATTCATATTTTATTACAATCTGCAGAATTCATCGACACCAAATTAAGTTGTGTTAACTAATATGGTGTTTTAAACTTTATTATTTTCTCGGTTTTTCAGGTCAAGAAGAATTTCCTCGTTCCTTCTCAGGACTGTGACTAGTCTTACGACAGCTGTGTCTGACTGAGGTAAATTTGTCATCTGAAACATGCATCTGACGTTTGACTGCTGTAGCAAAATTCTTTGAGTGCGTCGATATGAAAATCATATAATCCATTAAAACCGTGACAGTTTGAGTTATTAATTTTTTGAGATTTAATAAAGGTTAACCAAAGAAAACATAATCATAAACCAGTTTCGTTTCTATAGACTTTCTGTATCTTTTTCGTTTTATAAAAGCATGGAAAATTGCCTATAAAGTTGTTAACTGTGAAAATGCGAGAAACTGCCCTACAGTTATGGCTGTCTTCGTACACACAGCTGTAAAAAAAAAAAAAGAGTCAAGACTTGACGTCAGATAAGATTGACTCGTATCAGATTGGGATTTGATCCTTGGCAGGCGTCGACTTAAATCTTCAGCCATGTTAGTGAAGGAATACCGGATCCCACTGCCTCTCACGGTCAACGAGTATCGTGTGGCCCAGTTGTACATGATCGCCGTAAGTGTTTATTTGTTTTAAACTTACTTAACAAACGTGCGTTTTTAGAACGTTCCAAGAATAATCAAATCATTTCAAAGCAAATACTTGTTAAATAAAAACATTTTATTAGTCATTAGGTGGGTATTTTTAACATGACACATTAATTGTTTATCTCACGAAATTGAGAGCCGATCCTTTTTTATGTGTTTTTTAAGTACTTCTGAAGAGCTTAAACATCTCAACATTAAAACTTATTAGTAAACACCGTTTTGCTAAGCGTGAATAAAAATATTCGTATAAAAACTTTCTACACCGTAATGATAACATGCCATCAACACCCATTGAAACAGTTTATTAGCGATAAATTGCCCAAGTTTCTCGTGAGTTCGAACTATATCTCTGTTCAATTTAGATTAAACATTGTTTCTGTTTATACCCTTCATTTACCGAAAATTGTCTTAAGTTACATTGTAATCAAGATTTGTGATATAATTTACATTTCTTGGGAAATGTATGGTTCGAATGTTTCCATGGTCTGTATGGTGTGATAAAAATACGAATAGTTATTTAGATGTTAAATGCTCACCAACTAAGAACTATAATGATTGTTGAATGAATTATCTAAGTTGGCTCATATTGCGCTAGAAGAATATGATAGATTAATTTGATATTTTATTTTTAGACACATTTTAAGAGCGAAAAACGATGTGTTTTAGCACAGTGAAAAAAAAAATCTTTATTAGATATTTCAGCCATTTATTTTCGATAACATAGTTACCATCATCAAGGCTGGTGATGGTATCTGTGTTACCGATTAGTCGATTTTATCTTTCATTGTGCCAAAAATAAATAAATAAATCGTTTTGAGTTTTGTTTTTTTTGCTCTTAATAAGGTGACTGATTTCCTCCTCGTATCCTGAGTTACGATATGTGGACTTAATGCCTGTTGAATGATTACTTAAAAAAAAATGTGTGGCTAAGTAGACTATAAAAATAGCTGTATGTTTGTTATCTAAACTTATTCAAACATACTGTGGGTGTGAACGTGCTTTGTATTCACTATGAGAAGAACTTACACACTAGATAGGTTTGACACTTTTTTCACTATGATATAGGTTCAGCTTATCTCTCTCTGGTTAACTTGTGTTCAGGGTTACTGACGAGGAGTGGAATTCTCCGAAAGTAGTGTAATCAAATAACACACCTTGGTCAAAGTGTAGATTGAATTGGACCTCCCTTGAACTTAGACTTCGAAATTAAACAATTTTCGGAATACTAAGTTTATTTATTGTTTTATTTAAACTTAGTGTCAATTAAATGTTTACTTTCCCTGAAATGTATGTGGTAATCAACTAAACGTCTCACATGTTATGAGGGAACGCACTGTTTCTTTCCCCGCACAAACTTTGTTGATATTGAAACTTAAAGCCATACGAAGAGCTTCTTGAAATTAATGTTATCTAGATATAATTTGAGAAGAAAACATCATTGTTCTTACTATGGAAAAGTACATAGACAACGAGAAATAGTTAAAAAATGTTACAAGTTACGAAATCGCTTCTCCCCTACAGAATGCCCCCCCCAGTGGCACAGCGGCATGTCTGCAGACTTAAAACGCTAGAATCCGGGTTTCGATACCTGTTGTGGGCAGAGCACAGATAGCCCATTGTGTTGCTTTGTGCTTAACTTCAAACAAACCGAAAATCAAACCTTACAGAATAAATGTTATTTCTTTAGAGTATAATACAGATGAGCGATATATATGTTTGTATTCTGATGGATTGCATTTTTGCACAACCCATGAATATTTTCTTTTTATTCACATTGTATATGTTTACAGATATGCTGGTAATATTACATTTTCGATTATCACATATTCTTTGAGTTTAATAAATTCAAGTTTTTTACTTTAAATATAAAAAGATATATGGCTGAAAAAGTTATATGAAAGTTACTGCATGAAAATAGTATAAAGGAATCATATAGAATGTTATTATGTTCCAAAACTATATTTATTCATTGTGTTTTTTTTAATTTCTCTAATGTTCAAGTGACATGTATTCTTGAGTAACTCCTTCTGCAGTTATTAACTGTTTTTGTCTAATTTAACAGGGAAGGTTTATCCGATAAAAATGTATATAAGGAGGGATTTTGTTACGTGTTTTGGACAAAATTACCAATGTTTCTTTATGATAGCCATATATCTATTTTCAATAACCTTTTGCTGTAGGTTTCAACGAAATGTCACCAAGCTTCTTAGAAATAATAGTTCAAGTTATTTGTATATAAACTTCGACTTTCTCGGTTGGTCTTTGGCCATTTCATGTGATATACTCCTTTTATAGCTTTTAATGGAAGTTTATCAAATTTTCTTCACGGTCACAACTTTACCTCAGACGTTTTTCTCACTTCATGAAATGTGTAAGTCATAGAGCTTGTTGACGAGCATTACGTCGAAACCAAATGATATCGACCATTCTTAGTACTAATATAGTGGTTTAATCGTACTTTAAAGAACGATTTCCATATATGCTGATACGATGGCCCGTCGCCGCAGATGTTAGCCGTGGCACCAGTAATGGCGTCTTTAGAATCCATATATTTGGATGAGAACGAACGAATAAGATGTGCATTCTGAGGTAGAATATTTGTAAAGAAAAAATATAAAATAATATAGAGGCAAAGGACGTAACATTCGAAGAAGTTTTGTTGGACTTAAAAAAAACACATAACAGAACATTTGGGAAAGCTGTGTGTTCCGAAACTAAACCCCCAGCCTAATCTGGGGTAGCGCAATCACAAGAGAACTTTCAAACTCAAAAAGCTATTGCGATGAAGTTGAACATACTTCCGGTTTCCTTTAATAAAACAATAAACAAGAATTTGAATTTGACTTATGCTCACAAATCATAAGTTCAGAATTTTCCAACCACACCTCGAAATCAGCGAAAACATGGCCGAAAAAAAAAACTATACTTACAACAGTCTCATTCGACAACATACCTGCCAATCCCCATATCAGCTCCAATGGACTTTTTCGCTATTGGACTGCCTAAGCGTGTTATTGAAATCCGGAATACACGTACAGAGGAGCATCTGTGCAAAATTTGTCACGATGTGTGATCTATTATTTACTTTGCCGTTCTTCCAGAGACTTGCTATAATGGAAATTGACATGTCAGCTAATAGTGCTTAATTATGACCATCAGATTGAGCACAATTCAATGAAAGAAATAATTACAAGGAGAGTACGAGACTTGGTAGTGTATTTTCCTTCTTTCGAATCCAACATAGCGTACATTGTCAGAAAGATATTCTGTGAAAAATATCTTTCGAATGAAACAAAGCTCATCATGAGCAGTCATCCTGACTCAAACCCTCTGATCAGTATAGCATCTCAGTTCAAGACATATTAGCAGCAAAGAATTATTATATTCCATATATGTATAGCCAATACTTGATTAAATAAATTACTGATCTACTAAAGTTATCGAGTTGAAGAAAACCAATCAATATTCATTAGAATTAAAGAGTATTATTCTGCATTATATGTTTGTGTATTAATTATCCGTATATGGATATTGATAAATTTCACATTTAGGACATTTAAACAATATTGCAACGCGTCTGAACGTTTACATTTTGTGCTCAATTATATTTTTGTATTAATATCGCGTTTGGAAAATAGCTCTTCAACGTCACTTGTGACCACACCAGGCCAGCAGATATGTTGGCATGTTTGAGTGTGAATATACTCAAAGGTTTATTGCTAATATACTCAAAGTTTTATTGCTACTGACGTTAGTAGTGTAACAGTGTAATGTCCAAATGATGGACATGGTAGTAGGTAATTAACAGTATCTGAAAATCCCCGGCAATGGTAGGTCAGGCTAACAGTGCAACACCAAGACTTATTTAGGTAACGCGGCTCTACGAAATTTTTTTGTTCATGCTATGAGACCATGCTATTGGAGCTTTTAACACACAACATCATCGATAGCCTGAATACAGTGGTAGTGTAGGATCATCACAGATGGCAAAAACGGCATTGACGTTTAGTTCTATTTAAAGTTGGTTTCAGGTTCTATCGTGACGTTCATGATGTGTGGCAGTTGTCATGTGTGAAGAGAGCTGTTCTGGCTACAAAATAGCTGAATACGACGGCTCAATGATAGCTCTGTGAGTGGTGTGGAGATACATATGCTATATTGGAATTACTGATCTGTACTTTAGTAAGAATGGTGTTGTAAATATTGGAAGATAAAGGAACGAAATTCGTGGATTCCTTGTTAGTCCTTTTTCTCGTGCCTTTAGAGCTAATTCAGGTTTGTTGGTATACATCTGTTCGCTGTCACTACTTCCCTTAAATAGGAATCTCTTGTAAGAATGAACTGGTCGGGAACTTCTCTAGACTTCAAACCACTAACAGATATCTAGGATGAGCTTCAAAAATGGAGCTCAGACCTACCTCACCCACCAGACACCCAGGATCAGCTGAGGAACATCTTTGTGAGAGAATGAGGAATCATTCCTCAGAACTCCATCCACAGATTAACGCAAGGCATATAGAAACGTTGTAGAACTGTGTTTGCTGCTTGGTATACATAAAATCGCAACTAAATGGAGCATAAGGATTGAAGCTGTTGTGGAGCAATTTCACGTCCATTCTTAGTATGAATTTTGCCTTAATAATACACTGTCATTTTCATCAGAAGTTAAGAAATTAGTTTTATTTACTACTTAGGAAATGTATGCCGATAATTTATTGACCCCTAATATATTTAGTATATAAGGAGCTTTTGTGATGATTTTATTTTATATTTATAGTCTGAGTCAAATCCTGGTATGGCCAGGTAGTTAGGGCGCTCGTTTGAATCCCCGTCTCACCAAACATGCTCGCCCTTTCAGTCGTGGGGACGATATAATGTGACGGTCAATCCCACTATTTGTTGGTAAAGGAGTAGCCCAAGATTTGGCGGTGGGATGCTCACTGTCTATGATAACGATACTGATAGTGTTTTA